AGCAGCAGCAGCAGCAGCAGCAGCAAGGACCCTCCTCGAGCTCGAGAGCAGGCGCAGGCACAGAGCAGCAGCAGGACAGTATGTCAGCCTACCCCGTCTATATTCCACTGTTCGGTGAGTCTTGCTGCTGCTGCTGTCCCCTTGCTGCTGCTGCTGCCGCCTTGCTGCTGCATTCTTCCTGCTTCGGCCTCCCTCCTGCTGCTGCTTTCTGCTGCAGCTGCTGCTGCTGCCTCGCTGCTGCTGCTCGCAGCACTGCGTTGTCCCTCTTTGGTTCTTTCCTTTCCTTATTGCAAATTCAGCAGTTCAAAGGCAGCAGCTTGAGGAATTGAACGAGCTTTGGAGCTGCTGCTGCTGCTGCTGCTGCTGCTGCTGTGCTGCTTCACAGGACGCAGATGCAGCTCGTAGGGGCCTCGCCGCTGCCACCCCAGGGTCTCGCCCAGCAGCTACAGCAACAGCAGCAGCAGCAGCAGCAGCAGTTAGTGCCCCCGCAGGCCCTGCCTCTGCTGCTGCGTCTGCCGGCGCTCTCTGGGGCTCATCTTCGCTGCTGCGGGTTCGAGCCTCACTGCTTGGAGGGCCGCGTGGGCAGCACAGCAGCAGCAGCAGCAGCAGCAGCAAAGGACGGCAGCAGCGCAGCATGGAATGCACCTCTTTGGGGCCTCGAAGTGCCTGGGGGGCCTCTTGAGCAGCTGCCCCGGGGGGCCCCCGGGGCCCTAGGACTCGCGGGGGGCCTCCCCTATGACCTTGTTGGTTTGCTGCTGCACCTGCAGCTAAGCTGCGGGGCCCAGGTGGGTTTTGCTGCAGTCTGCTGCTGCCCCCAGTCAGCCCCCGAAGGCTACTTAGCAGCAGCAGCAGCAGCAGCAGCAGGTGGGGTGCGCTTGTGTTGCGGTTCTGCTTCGCAGGGGCAGCAGCAGGGGCCCCCCGAGGCCTCGCAGGGGGGGCCCCCAGCAGCTGAGGGGGCCCTCTACTTAATGACTGGGGGCCTCCAGATTTGCTGCGTGCAGCTGCGGAGTGGGGGGCCCCCTGAGGGGAGCAGCAGCAGCGCTTCCCAAGTGCCCCGGTTCCTGGAGCCTGCCCGTGCTGCGCTGCAGCAGCAGCAGCAGCAGCAGCAGCAGCGGCTTGCCTGCGCATGCATCGAGGGAGTCGAGTTTGAGAGGTATGATGTTGCTGCTAACTTCTGGGTCTTCAGGGGAGTGACCCCGCTGCTGCAGCTGGCAGTTGGTGCTGCTGCTGCTGCAGTTCAGCAGCCGCTGCTGTCTCAGGAAGCAAAGGCGCTGCAAGCCGCCGTTGCTGCTGCTGCAGGTGCAGCAGCGACGGCAGCAGCTGCAGCGAGCGCCGCAGGCGGCGCTGCTGCCAGTTCAGCAGCAGCGGCTCCGCCAGCTGCTGCTGCTGCTGCACTTGTTGCTGCAGCTGCTGCTGCGCGGCACCGCGTGCTGCAGGTGACCCTAGCAGCCCGGGGCCTCTGAAGCCCCTCGGGCTCAAGGGGCCCCACAGGGGCCCTCACAAGGGGCCCCATAGGGGCTCTTACAGGGGGCCCCACAGGGGGCCCCATCAGGAGGAAGTCCCCTATTGTGGGGGCCCCGTGTGGGGCCCCTCAAGGGGCCTCCTGTGGGGCTCCCAGTGGGGGCCCCTGTAGGGACCCTCTGCGGGGCCCCCCAAGGGCCTCTTGTAGGATCCCCAAGGCCCTCTTGTGAGGCCCCTAAAGGCCCTCTTGTGGGGCCCCGACGGGCCTCTTGTGGGGCCCCTACGGGCCTCTTGTGGGGCCCCCCAAGGGCCCCTTATGGGGCCCCCCATGGGCCCCCTTGGCTTTGTGGGGCCCCTTTAAAGCCGCATGCAGACTACTGGTGGCGCCTGGCGCAGTCTTTAGTTTCCTCTAGGTCTTGAGAGGTTTTGTGAAGTTTTTTAAGTTCCTTTTAGGTCTTTTAGGATTCTTTTGGAGCTTTTAAAAGACCCATTTAGTCCCCTGAGGCCCCCCAAAGGGCCCCCAGTCACTTTTGGCCTTTTTGGGGGCCCCTGTGGGTCCTTTTGAGTTCTTAGAGGCCCTTTAAAGCCCTATAAGGCCCTTTAGGTCCTTTGAGTTTTTTCAAGAATTTTTTTTTTGAGGCCCTTATAATCCTTTTAATTACTTTTAAAGGTCCTCTGAGTCTTTTACGACCCTTTGAGGCCCTCTAGGTCCTTTAAAAATTCTTTCAAGTCCTTTAAAATACTTTCTGAGGCCCTTTAGTTCCTTTAAAACTTTGAAAAATTCTTTAAAACACTTTTTGAGGCTTTTTAGAAGCCCGTTGGCATTCTTTCAGGTCTTTAGAGTATTTTAAAGTTCTTTTGGGTTTTTAAAGGCTTTTTAAGATCTTTTAAATCTTTTAGAAGCCTTTTGGATTCTTTAACATCTTTTGAAGTCCGTTGAGATCTTTTTAGGTTTTCTAAATTCCTTTGAGATCCTTTAAGACACTTTAAGATCTTTTTAAGACCTTTTAAGATCATTTGGGATATTAAAATATCTTAAAAGATCTTGAAGGATATTAAAAGGTCATTTAAAATTCTTTAAGGTCCTTTTGGGCTTCTAGGATCTGTTAAGATCACATAAGATTCTTTAAGATCTCTTAAGGTCTTTTAATATCCTTTAAGATCTTTTAAGATCCTTTAAGGTCCTTTTAAGGTTTTTAAAGGTCTTTTAAGATCATCTAGGATATTAAAATTATTTAAGATCACTTCAGATTATTTAGGATATTAAAGGTTCATTTAAGACTATTCAAGACACTTTGAGATATTTTATAATCATTTAAAATAATTAAAAATCAATTGAGATCATTAAAAGTCTTTCAAGCTTTTTCAAGATATTTAAAAATTATTTGAGTCCTTTTAAAATACTTTAATTCCATTAAAAGTCTTTTGAAATCTTCTAAAGTCCTTAAGGAGACTCTTTTGAAGTTCTTTAAAATATTATTTTTTCCTTAAGTTCTTTTGAAACTTTCTAACTTTTTAAGTCTCTTAGAATCTTTCAAAATCCTTTAAAGTTCTCTAAGATCTTCTGAAGTCTTGTAAAGTCCTTTTTAAAGTCTTTTAAAATCTTGCAAAGTCTTTTGAAGTCTTCTCAAGTCTTTTGAAGTTTTCTAAAGGCTTCTAAAGTCTTGTAAGGCCTGAAGTTTTTTAAAGTCTTCTGAAGTCTTTTAAAGTCTTTTGAAGTCTTTTGAAGTCTTTAAAATCTTTTAAAGTTCTCTAAGATCTTCTAAAGTCTTTAGGATCTTCTAAAGTCTTTTGAAGTCTTTTAAATTCTTCTGAATTCTTCTGAAGTCTTCTGAAGTCCTTTATCTTCTAAATTCTTTTAAATTCTTTTAAATTCTTTTAAATTCTTTTAAAGTTTTTTAATTTCATTCTATGTCTCTTACAGGTCTTACGGGTCCTTTGCAGTTCCTAAGGGCCTTTAAGCCGCGCTTACTGAAATCCTTTTGAGACTTTTGAAATCTTTTTAAGGTTTTATAGACTTTTTTGAATCCTTTTAAAACATTTTGAATCTTTTTAAATCCTTTTGACTCCTTTTGAAGTCTTTTTGAAGTCTTTTTGAAGTCTTCTCGAGCTTTTAGAGGTCCTTGAAGGGCCCTTAAATCCATTTGGTCCCTCAAAAGTCTTTTCAACTTTTTTCAAAGTCTCAAAACTTTCTCGAAGTTTTCTTCGGCTTTGCAGCGCCTCTTAAAGCCCCTAGAGGCCCTCAGAGGTCTTTTAACGTTTTTCTTTAAAGTTCTTTGAAGTCCTTTGAAGTCCTTTAAGGTCTTTTGAACTTCTTTGAGGCCTTTTGAACTCCTTTAAAGTCTTTTAACGTCCTTTAAAGTCCTCTAAGGTTTTTTGAAGTCCTCTAGGATTCTTTAAAGTCCTTGAAGGTCCTCTCAAAGGCCCTTTAAAGTTCTCTAAGATCCATTGAGATCCACTGAGGTCCATTAAGTTCAATTTTAAGGTCCGTTTCAAGATCCTTTGAGATCTTTTAAGATCTGTTAAAGTCTTTTAAGGTCTTTTAAGGTCCATTAAGGTCCCTTAAGGTCCACTGAGGTCCATTAAAACCCTTTAAGGTCCATTATGGTCCATTTAGGTCCTTTCTAAAGTCCTCTTAAAGTCCTTTTTAAAGTCTTTTAAGGTCCACTAAGGTCCACTGGGGTCCACTAAAACCCTTAAAGGTCCATTAAGGTCTTTTTTAAAGTCTTTTAAGGCTCTTTAAGTCCCTTTAGGCTTTTTTAGAATTATTTAACACCTTTGGGGCTTTTAATTCTTTCGAAGATCATTTAAAACCTTTTCTGTCCTTTTAAATCCTCTAAAACTCATTTAAGCTTTTAAAGATTCTTTCAAATTTTTTGAAGTCCTTTGAGGCCTTTTGAGTCCTTTAAATTTTCTTTTGGGTCCCTTTAGATCCTAAGGATCTTTAGAACTCTTTAAATGGTGGTGGGCTTTTTAAGTCAACTTCACTGGGTTCTCTAAAGGTTTTGGGGGCCTTCTAGGGTTTAGGGTTTAGGGTTTAGAGTCAAGCTCGCGGGCTTATGGGCCCTTGAGGCTCTAGGAAAACGAGAGGAGGGCCTTTTGCTTCTGCTGCAGGCAGTCGCTGACAGCAGAGACAAAAGTTTCTACTTCGCGATCCACTGCAGCCTGCAGCAGCAGCAGCGCAGCAGCAGTAGCAGCAGCGCAGCAGTAGCAGCAGCGCAGCAGCAGCAGTGAGAGTAAAAACAGCAGCAGCAGCAGCAGCAGCAGCAGAGGCAATGGAGCCCCAGTTGAAGGCAGGGTTTTGGGCGGCTACAGAGGAGACACACGGCCTCAACACTCAATACGCTAGTAGGAAGCAGCAGCAGCAGCAACAGCAGCAGCAGTAGCAGCAGCAGCAGCAGCAGCAGCAGAGTTTCAAAGCCCCACCTCTGTTGCATGGGCCTCATCCTCTCCAATGCGTTTGCTGTTCAGCTTTTCGCGCACGCGCTGCAGGGCCTCCCGCCTCACAGCCCTGAAGCAGGAGCACCGCAACCTGCTGCTGCTGTTGTTGCTGCTGCTGCTGCTGCTGCACTGCTGCTGCTGCTGCTGCCCCACCGTGACCCTCGTATTGCTTGTAAGAGATCACTTGCAACTAGATGAAAAGCAGTACTGGCAAGAGACACAAAAAGGCTGCTACCGTTGCTGCTGCTGCTGGTGGTGCTGCTGTTACTGCTGCTGCTGCTGCTACTGCTGCTGCTGCTGCTGCTGAAGAGTGGCCTACCTAAGGGAGACTTTTGTTGCTTCTGCTGCTTCTTTGGCCCGCCGGACCTCAGCTTGTCTAGCAGCAGCAAAACGTTTAGAGGCAGCAAAACAAAAAGCAGAAAAGAGAAAAAAGAAATAAAGAAAAGAAAAAGAAAGAATAAACAAATAAATACAGAGGAGACAAAATAAAGAGACTCAAGGAACATGAAAGGAATAAAAAGAAAAAAAGAAAAAAGAAAAAAAGATGAATGAAACAAAGAGGAGGGGGGATAAATGAAAGGACAAAGAGTGAAAGATATAAAAGAAGAAAAAGAAAGAATTAAAAATAAAAATTAATTAATTAATTAATTAACAAATTAATTAATTGACTAATTAATTAATTAACTAATTAATTAATTAACTAATTAATTAATTAATTAATTCATTAATTAAGGGAGACAAGAAGAATACTACGAGCTGCTCTCAGGCGGCGTAGGCCGGCCAGAGAAGCAGCAGCAGCAAACAATCTTGACGGAGGCAACAGCAGCAGCAGCAACAGCAGCAGCAGCGGAAACCACAGCAGTAACAGCAACAGCAGCACCAGCAGCAACAGCAGCAGTGGCAGCAGAAACAATAGCAAAAGCAGCAGCAGTAACCACAGCAGAAATAGCAGCAGAAACAACAGCAACAGCAGCAGCAGCAGCAGCAGCAGTAGCACAAGCAGTGCCCACCGCCACTCTTGGGTGAGGCTGGGCCGACGGACAATAAACTCCCTGCGCGCAAAGCAGCAACAGAAGCAGCAGCAGCAGAAGCAGCAGTAGCAGCAGCAGCAGTAGCAGCAGCAGCAGAAACGATAGCAATGCATCGCTTCAAGGCAACTGCCGCAACCAGGACAGCACAAGCAGCAGCAGCAGCAGCAGCAGCAGCGGCAGCAGCAAGAGCTAACGCAGCAGCAGCAGCCCCGCCTGGCGAAGAGCACGTACGGTATTGGCTTCCCAGTGGAGTCACGCTCCTGCTGCTGCTGCTGCTGCTGCTGCAGGCAGACACTAAGGCCACCGGGGGCATTTCTTAGAGCTGCCTCAACTGCAGCAGCAGCTGCTGCTTCGTGAGGCTTCACCAGCAGCTCAGCAGGTCCAAGTATGTGTATACTGGCCACTGCATGCAAAGGCTGCTGCTGCTGCTGCTTCTGCTGCTTCTGCTGCTGCCGCTGCTTCTGCTGCTGCCGCTGCTTCTGCTGCTGCTTCTGCTGCTGCTGCTGCTGCGCTGGTGGCCCCTCAGGGGCTTCCACAGTGACTTTCACATGGGCCAGCGTGGCGGGCCTGCAGGACAGCAGTCGCGAAGTTGCTGCTGTTGCTGCTGCTGCCGTTGCTGCTGCCGCTGCAGTTGCTGTCACTTCTCATGTTGCGGCCGCTGCTGCAGTTGCTGACACTTCTCATGTTGCTGTTGCTACTGCTTCCAGTGCTGCTCCCGCTGCTGCTGCTGCTCCTCTCGTTTCTGCTGCAGCTTCTGGCGCTGCTAATGCTACTACTATTTCTGCTTCGTCTCCCCCCACCCCACTGCTACAACCCCTGCTGCTGCTGCTGCTGCTGCTGCTGCTGCTTACGATAGCTGTATACTGCCAATAGCGAGGAAGTGCTGCTGCAGGGCTTCTACACAAGCCTGCAGTTTGGGGCGAAGGCCTTTAACAAATGCTGCGCGGTCCCAGGGGGCCCCCAGGGTACCCTGCGGGGCCCCCAGGGGGCCCTGAGGGGCCCTCTGCTGCTCGGGGGGCCCCCGCCGCCGGCCCCACAGCGCAGTAGGGGCCCCTTGGAGGGTCCGGGGGGCCCCCAACGGGAAGGGGGCCCCCCTCTCGGGGTAAGGGGGCCCCCTTTGGAGGTGATGGGGCCCCCCTTGGGGGTACAGGGGGCCCCCTCCGGGGTAAGGGGGCCCCTCCTGGGGGCCCCCCTTAGTCAGTAGAGGTCCCCGACTTGCTATGAAGCCCATGGGGCAGTCTAGGGCAGGGCGGCGGCGCTGCAGGCTGCCGCAGCAGCAGCTGCTGCTGCTGGAGCAGCAGCAGCTGCTGCTGCTGCTGTAGGCGCAGCGAGGCAGGAAATAGTGGGCGCCGCGTTGCTGCAGCAGGGAAGCTGCTGCCAGCAAGGGGGGCCCCCGGAGGGGCCCCTGAGGGGGCCCCTCCAGGGGCCCCCCTTGGGTCAGAACCCACGGGGGGCCCCACAGGCTGATGAGGAGCAGCAGCAGAGGCAACAGTAGCTTCGCTTGCGGAAGGTGCCGCCGCCGCTGCACTCGCTGCTGCTGCTGCTGCTGCTGCACTCGCTGCTGCTGCTGCTGCTGCTGCAGGGCTGCTGGCTTTAACGCCCCAGCGAGCATTGCGGGGCCCCTCCGGTGTCAGTCTTAGGGCCCAGAGTGGGCCTCCCCTAAACCCTAAACCCTAAACCCTAAATTCTAAACCCTGCAGCCTGAGGCTCCGAGGCCCCAAACCCTGATCCTTAAACACTGAAGATCTAAACCCTAAACCCTTTTTGAGGCCCTACACCCTCTCCCAAACCCTAAACCCCACTCCAAACCCTAAATCCTAATTTCCTGCAGGCCCGACGCTGTCGAGGCCCACGGGTCGCTGCCGCCTCACGCTAAACCTTAATGTGCTCTCTAAACCCTAAACCCTAAACCCTAGCAAGAGGGTTTCACTTGAAATGCTGCTGGCTTTTTAAAAGAAAAGTAACAAACTCCTTAAATCAAACCCTCCTCAGGGTTTTCTCTTGAGGCTGCTGAGGCCTCCGGGGGCCCCGAGGGCCCCCAGGGGGCCCCCCAGTGACCCTAGCAGTTGGGGGCCCCTCATCTGCAAGGGGGGGCCCCTAGCTAGCGGTTATGTTCTTGAAGGAAACAAATATAAATAAATATATTTTATAGTTTATATTTTATATAACTTTTTGTTGAAAATAAATCCTGCAGGTTTACCCAAGCATTTGAGGTGTACACACACCTCAACATGCGGGCAGTTGCTGCTGCTCCTGCATATATATATATATATATACATATAATATATATATATTTATATAAATATATATACAATATACATATATTATATATAGATTTATATATATATTGTATATATATATATATTGATTTATATATGTACACTGCCTTGGCTTGTGTATGTACTGCCCTTGTGCAGCAAAAGTGCATTTCTTGCTGCGCTGTATAGACAGGGGCTTGCGAGTTGCATTTATAAAAACAAAAGCGCAATTTTAAATATTTTCTTTTATTACGCACTTATTGTTACTATTAGTATTACCATTTATTAGTATTATTATCATTACCATTATTTATTTATCATTGTTATTATTATTATTATTACTTCTATTATTAGAAAGATATTCCCCATTTAAGTGCACGCAGCAGCTGTGTACCGACCAGGGTTTAGGGTTTAGGGTTTAGGGTTTAGAGCAGCTCTCGAGGCCTCTGGCCAGGTGGCTACGGCTGGTAGACCACGGCAGCATTAATCTCGCAGGAAATGAGGGTTTAGGGTTCGAGCTAGGGTTTAGGGTTTGGGCTAGGGTTTAAGGTCTGCACTGGGGTTTAGGGTTTAGAGTAGGGCTTAAGAGCTTTTAGTGCTTGGCATACATCCCAGCTTAGACTGGGGCAGCAGCAGCAGCAGCAGCAACGCTTTAATTTGCTGCTGCTGTCGCTCTTTGCTGCCTCTTGTTTCCTTTTTTCTTCACTCTCCAGTCTCTTTGTTTCTCTTTTCTTCTTTCCTTTTTCTTTTTCTTTTTTGCTGCAGCTTCCTCTCTCTCTCCAGTTCCCTCTACTCATATCTCTGCAGCTTCTAGTACCAGGGTCCCCTCTCAGGGGCCCCAGGGGGCCCCCAAACGTCTCCAGGGGCCCCCAGGGGCCCCCAAGGCTCCTGAGGGGCCCCCAGGGGGCCCCCAAGGGTCCTGAGGGGCTCGCAGGGGCCCCTAAAGGAGGCCCCTCACCTATAGTAGGCGTTGAATGCCTGTAGCGCAAAGCGGAGCCTACAGAGGCAGTGTGTAAAGCGTCTGCTGCAGCAGCTGTAGCTGAAGCGGCAGCAGCAGCAGCAGCAGCAGCAGCAGCAGCGTCCTAGCTTCAGCTCCCTTTATTTTTTTTCTCTAAGAGACTTTTTGCTGCTGCCTTACCGCGTAAAATAGTTTATCTCCTTCCCCCACTCTCAGCGCGGTCCTCAGTGCCTGAAGCCCAGCAGCAGCAGCAGCAGCAGCAGCAGCACAAACGCACACGAGTGGACACAGTGGCACGCTAGGGGGCCCCTCGAGGGGCCCCTCTGGGGCCCACCTGGGTACCCAAGGGGGCCCCCATGCCCGCCCCGAAGGGGGCCCCTCTTCGGGGGCCCCTGCTGAGGCGCAGGGGCTCCCCGAGGGTACCCTAGATTGTCTTTAGGTGCCTTTAAAGGCTTTAAATGGATCTTTTGAGGCCCTTTAAAAGGGATTGAGGCCCTTTAAAAGGGCCCCTCAAGAAAGGCATATTGGGGGCCCCCTGGGGCCCCTTAGGGTCACTTTGGAAGCCCCCTGGGGCCCCTTAGGGTCACTTTGGAAGCCCCCTGGGGCCCACTGACCTCTTCGTCTACAGTCATTGCGAAGTTTTCTTTGAAAGCCACCAGCAGCTTTTCTGCAGCAAAGCCCACTCAGACACTGCTGAAAGGCGGCAGCTGCTGCTGCTGCAGCAGCGGCAGATGTTCCTGCTGCTGCTGCAGCAAGGGCAGCAGGGGGAACAGCAACAGTAGCAGCGACACGTGTTCCTGCTGCTGCTGCAGCAAGGGCAGCAACGGGGGGAGCAGCACCAGCAACAGTTCTTGGGTGCTACAACAACACCAGATATAGCAGCAGCAGCAGTTTATCCTGTTGAAGCAGTAGCAGCCACAACAGCGACAGCAACAAAAGCAGCAGCAGCAGCAGCAGCAGCAACTGGCCTACGGAAGGGTATGGGCTGGTCAAGGCAGCTCGCAGAGCCTCCCAGAGCGACCCAGACATTAGCTGAGCAAAGGCCAAAGCAATTGAAGCAGCTCGTGCTGCTGCTGTTGCTGCTGCTTTTGCTGCTGCTGTTGCTGCTGCTGCTGCTGCTGCTCACTCATATCTTGGACTTCATCTTCGTCGTAAACTTCCGCGGCTTGGCGTTCAAAGACCCGCAGAATTTCCGCGAACTCTGCGGGGCACAGAAGAGGAATTTCGAGGGTTTAGGGTTTGGGGTTTGGGGTTTAGGGTTTGGGGGTTAAGGGTTTAGGGTTTAGGGTTTAGCCCACCGATTTGGCCCGTGCAGTCTTGCTCAATTTCGGCCATGAGGGAAAAGATAAGATCGTCGGTGGCACTGGCCCCCAGAATTTCTGCGGGCCACAAAGTATACGCTGTTTTAGGGTTTAGGGCTTAGGATTTTGTAGCGGCAGCAGAAAACAAGCAACGAAGGCAGTGGCCCTTCACAGGCCGCAGCAGCAGGGGATAAAAGCTGCAGCAAAACGGAGGGGGAAGAGAAACAGCAGCAGCCAACAGCAACAGAAAAAAGCAGCAGCAGCACGGAAGCCCTTCTGTCCCATTTTCTCCTAGAGGGGCAGACACAGGTCCTGCTTGCTTCCGTGGGTGCTCTTAAAGTAGTAAACTACTAGCTGCTGCTGCTGCTGCTGCTAATGTGCTGCTGCTGCTGCTGCAGCTGCAGCTACAGTTGCTGCTACCGCGTTGCTCCCGCTGCTGCCACTTCTGCTACCTTCTCTACTCTGTCTAAAGCCGATACTGCTGCAGCTGCTACTACTGCCGCTACTGTTTCGCGGCTGCCTCTACTGCAACTGCAGCAGCACCAACAGCAGCAGCAGCTGTTGCTGCTGCTGCTGCTTGCGGCCTGACCCTGCAGCAGCTTCTTCAGCTCAGTCCTGCTCAGGGAGCCCTCTCGGGTGGCCTTCAATTCCGAGATGGCCCGCGCGCAGTAAGCGGCTGTGGCTCTGTCTAGGGGCATGGTGGGAACAGTTTGCTGCTGATCTGCAAAAGTGGCTTTCTCGGGGCCTCTTCAGGCCTGCTTCGGGGCTTCTTCAGCCCCCGCTGCAGTCTGCTGCTGCTGCTGCTGCTGCAGCGGCCTTACACTGCAGGTGCAGCAGTTGCGCGCCTGCGTGCACACAGCCAAAGGCTCTCAGCCAGCAGCGCAGCAGCAGAGCGCAGCGCCGCCACTGCAGCAGCAATTAAATCCAAACTGCTCCAATATTTTTCCTTTTAACTGTGTCCTCTTATTTTTTAGTGTCGAGGAGTTTCTAAAGAGGCTTCTACAGCCGCTGCGCAGCAGCAGCGAAGCCGCAGTGCCCGCCGCCCCACAGCCGACAGCAGCCCTATGTGCAATGAAAAAATGGGTTTTTCTTTCAAATTGATTCGCCCTTTGAGTTATAAATATATTATAAATGCACTAAAGGGCTAAAAACAAATTTAAAAAGTCAGTTTGAAAAAAAAGGAAGTGCGTCAGCCGGGACTCGAACCCGGGTCGCAACCTTGGGAGGGTTGCATCCTACCCCTGGACTACTAACGCGACGGTCGCCGCTTCTTTTTAAGTCAGCAGAAGCAAATTGTCAAATTAATATATCTTTTTATGAAAAAATAAACTTTAAAACATAATATTCAAGAAATAAATTCTAAAACGGGTATTTGCTGCTTAAATTGGCCTGTCTTGCGGCGGAATTCAGGTGTACGTACACCTGAAAACCTGCAGGCGTGCTTTACTGCGCCGCAAATATTTCTCAAATTGTTAATTAAATGTTGTTTAAAGAAATTAAAAAAGGAAGAACACAGCTTTTAAATTGCCTATGAAATGCCCCCCACTTAATGAATATCCGCTTCTTCTGAATCTATTAAATCAACGGACTTCACCAAAATCTATAGAAAGCCTGAGGCCCTCAGCAGCAAAATATTCATTCAAAATGGAGGCCCCTTAGGCCCCCCGGTATGTCTGCCTGCTGCTTCTGTCTTTGTCTTTGTTTGCCTTCATTTGTAGTTGAAACGAACTCGCCTGCAGCCTAGCACCCGTGCTGCTGCAGTTGCTGCTACTGTTGTGTTGCTGCTCGTGCTTTTAGTGCTGCTGTCGATTTTGTTGTTGCTGCCGCTTCTTTTGTTGCTGTTGCTGCTGTTGCTCCTGATGCTGCTGCAACTGCTGTTGTTGCTGCTACTGCCGCTGTTGCTGCTGTTGCTGTGATGCTGCTGCAACTGCTCATGTTGCTGTTGCTGCTTTTGCTGTTGCTGTTGTGGCTGCTGTTGCTGCCACTGCAACAAACACAACTGCGTAGACCACATCAGCCCCGCGGGTGTACGTACAGCAGCAGCAACTTTATCTGTTTTCTAAGACATTGAGATCTGAGCCAAAGCGAGCAGCAGCTTCTCTTCAGCGGCACAGCAGCAGTGCTGCTGCAGCACGGAGCCCTCCAGCAGCCGATCAGACGGTAGTTCAGCAGCAAGGATAGCAACGGCAGCAGCTGCTGCTGCTGCAGCTGGAGCAACAGCGTCTACTGCACCAGAAGCAGCTGCTGCTGGAGCACCTGGATGCATCCATGTAATGAGGCAATCGCACTGAAGTAGCGTCAGAGCAGAAGCTGCTTCAGCAGCAGCAGCAGCAGCAACTACTACTGTTGCTGATGTTACTGCCCAAAGTTGCTGCTTCTCATCTAAGCACTTCTCAGTTGTGGCAACCTGTGGAAGCTGCTCCTGTTCCTGCTGCTGCAGCGATGCTGAAGTAGCAGCAGAACCTGCTGCTGCTGCTGCTGCGTCTTCATGAAAGGCTGCAAGCCGCGCATCATGAAAACTCAATGCAGTGGCCTTGAAGTGCCAAAGATTCACAGAAGTCTGCTGCCGTTCGTGCATTACACTCTGCTGCAGCCTGCTGCAGTCTGCTGCAGCTGCAGTTTGCTGCAGTCTGTGCACTGCAATCTGCTGCAGAATGCTACAGAATGCTGCAGCCTGCTGCAGCTGCAATCTGCTGCAGTCTGCTGCAGTTTCCTGCAGCCTGCTGTAGTCTGCTGCAGCCTCCTGTGCTCTCCTCTAGTCTGCTACAGCCTGCTGCAGTCTGCTGTAAATTGCAGCAGTTTACTGCAGTTTACTGCAGTCTACTGCAGTTTACTGCAGTTTGCTGCAGTTTGCTGCAGTATGTTGCAGTTTGCTGCAGCACGCTGCAGCAGCCGTTGCCGTGTGCGCCTGTTCTAGCGGAGGCGGCCGCGACAGCTAAAGCTCTCCAGCAGAGAAGGCCCGTTCTCATAATACTACGCGCAAAGCAGCAGCAGCAGCAACAGCAGCAGCAGCAGTAGTAGTAGTAGAAGTAGCAGCAGCAGCAGTAGCAGCACCAACGGCACCTTAACGGCGCTGCCTCGAAATGCACCATTAGTGCTGTGCTTCAACTGCTGCCTTGCTGCTGCCTTGCTGCTGCCTTGCTGCTGCTGCTGCGTTGCTGCTGTGTTGCTGCTGCGTTGCTGCTGCGTTGCTGCTGCTCACCTGCTCCCTCGTCATGTTATTGAGATCGTAGTGATGCTGCACACCAAACCGAAGACCCCCGCAGACGGCCGCATGACTGCACGCACACGCAGTGCAGCTGCAGCTGTCGCTGCTGTTGTTGCTGCTCCTGTTGCTGCTGCTGCCACGTTGCTGCTGCTGCCACGCGGCTGCTGCTGCAGTTGCTTCTTCTGCAGCTCATGCACTTGTTGTTGCTGCTTGGCTGCTGCTGCCTCCGTTTCTTCTTCTGCAGTCCACGCAGCAGCTGCTGCTGCTGCGTTCGCCGTGATGAGGCACTTGCTGCTGCTGCTGCTGCTGCCTCAAACAAAAGGGCCTAAATTAAATAATGGAAGAAAGAGACAAATGCATCAAACAGAAATGAAAAAAAACAAAACAAACTTACTGCTGCAGCTCCGGGTGAGGCAGCACATGCACACGGGGGAGGAATGAAGCGTGTGCTTTGCGGTATCGGTACAGCTCCTGCAGCAGCAGCAGCAGCAGCAGCAAAAGCACAGTCACGGTGGCCGCAGCAACAGCAGTAGCAGCAACAGCAGCAGCAGCAAGACTTGTCAGTGCAGCTGCTGCTGCTTCCGGGGGAGGCGAGTCAAGCAAATAAAACAAAGTGTCATGCAGCTCCTAGTGTTTCGTGAGGCAGCAGCAGCAGCAGCAGCAGCAGACCTCCGCAGTAAGAGCCGCAGCAGCAACAGCAGCAGCAGCAGCAGCAGAGGCAGCCGCAATCGCTGCTTTATGCGCATCATCGCGCAGCAGCGGCGACTGCAGCAGCAAGTTGTCTTGGCCTCAGAAGCAGCAGATGCAGCACCTCAGCTTCTTAGTAGATGATGCCTCTGTGCACAGGCAGCAGCGACAGAAGCAGCAGCAGGAACAGCAGCAAAGCAGCAGCAGCAGCAGCAGCAGCAGCAGCAGCAGCAGCTCACCCTAAGCTCCGTCTGAAGGCGAGCCGCCACTCCGGGTATGAGTGACGTGCCCCCCACAACGAAAACATTTTGCAGCAAACACCTGCAGCAGCAGCAGCAGCAGCAGCAGCAGCTTGATCAGAAAGGACGCTGAAGCCACAGCAGGCAGAAGCGGGGCAAACGCGCCAAGGCAACAACAGCAGCAGCAGCAGCAACAGCAGCAGCAGCAGGTTCTAGGGGGTAAAAAGACAAAAAGTCACTTTCGAGTGTCTATAGGGCACTTCTCCACCACAGCTGCCACGGCTGTCTGCAGCGGCAGCAAATGGAGGGCGCTCAGGGGCTCCGCCTCGGCCTGCAGCAGCGCAGCAAACCCGCCAATTCGTAGCTTGCAGCAGCAGCAGCAGCAGCAGCAGCGGCAGCAAGGCAGCAGCTGCAGCAAAGGAGCAGCAGCAGCAAAGGGGAAACGGCAGCAAAGGAGCAGCAGCAGCAAAGTAGCAGCAGCAGAAGCAGCAGCGGCAGTGGCAGCAGAGGAGCAGCAGAGGCAGCAGGAGCAGCAGCGGCAGCAAAGGAGCAGCAGCTGCAAAGGAGCAGCAGTAGCACAGCCGCAGCGGCAGCAAAGTAGTAGCAGAAGCAAACTAGCAGCCGCACCAGCGGCAGCAGAGGAGCAGCAGGGGCAGCAGCAGCAGCGGCCGCAAAGGAGCAGCAGCAGCAAAGGAGCAGCAGCAGCAAAAGCACCAGCAAAGCAGCAGCAGCAAGGCAGCAGCAAAAGCGGCAGCAGGCCTCACCCTGCTGTGCCTGTACTCTGTGAGGGTCTTTGCGTCAAACAGAAGCTCAGCAGCAGCAACGCGGCAGTCACCAACCAGCCACTGAGTCTCGAGCTGCTGCTGCTGCTGCTGCTGCAGCTGCTGCTGGTGTTTCACATCTGTGTCCTCAGCGGCTTCCCAAAGTCCCTCCCCACAGCGGCGCTTCTTCGTGTTGCTCTTGTAGCCTGCGCCCGGCCAGCTGCTGCTGCAGAAGCTGCTGCTGCTGCTGCAGCGGCTGCAGCCTCGAGGTGTACGTACACTGCAGGGGTTATTCCTAGCCAGAGATGTTTCCGCAGCAAAAACGAGCCCTCTCTCTGTGGCGCAGCAGACGACTTGTTCCTTTATCGACCGCGCTGCAGCCTGCAGCAGCAGCAGCAGCAGCAGCAGCAGCAGCAGCAGCAGAAACGTAGCAGCAGCTGGTGCCGGGAAAGAACGCACGTGCTGCTCCTGCTGCTGCTGCTGCAAAGGAACTCAGGCTATAAGACGTCCCACCACTGCGCAGTAGCAAGGCCTGAAGTCGACTTTGACTGGCTGCTTCAGCTCCTGCTGCCTCTGCTGCTGCTGCTGCTGCTGCTGCAGCAAGCTGCTGCAGAGAAAGGCGTCTATGTCTCTGCCCCCCAGCGGCAACTCCACAGCCAAACAGCCCAAAGCCTGTCCAGACAAAATGGGAGTGATGCGACTAAGAGAAGCGCCCAAGTCCACAATGAGTCCCGAGAAGTGCTGCATGCAGCGCAGGACCTGCAGCGCGCTGCTGCTGCTGCTGCTGCTGCTGCTGTCTCCTAGGTCCGTAGACAGTTCAGCGGGACTCAGCAAGCAGCCGCTTATCGCCAAAGCCGAAAGTGTGTCCTGAGAAACGCACATGCACCAAACGAAGTGCAGCAGCAGCAGCAGCAGCAGCAGCGGAAAGAGTAGAAGCTACAGCGGTAGCGCCAGTAATGGCAGCAGCAACAGCAGTAGCAGCATCAGCAGACGCCGCATTAGCAGCAGTAGCAGTAGCGGCAGCAGCAGCAGCAACAGCAGCAGTAAGCACAGCAGCAACGGCAGCAACAGCACTGGCAGGAACAGCACCAGCTGCAGCTTCATCAACTGCCGCAGCACCTGCAGCACCATTAACGGCAGCAGCAGCAGCAGCAGCAGCCTACCTTGTCCACTGAAAGGAACCTTTCTGCCTCGAGCAGCTCGAAGCAAATCTCCCCGAGGCGGCCGAAATGCTCTGGAGACCTTAAGCTGCTTTCGCACCACAAGAACCGGCCTCCCACAGTCTCTGGGTGCACCCTGCAGCAGCAGCAGCAGCAGCAGCAGCAGCAGCAGTGGCAGCAGCAGCAGTGGCACCAGCGGCAACGGCAGCGCGGGGTTTGTGCGAGGTGAGAAGCAGGGGCAGCTGCTGCTTATGAGGCTGCGCTGGAATTAAACCCGCTTGCAGCAGCAGCTGCTGCTGCTGCAGCACCTCCAGCAGCACCACAGCAGCGCAAGCAGCAGCAGCAGCACGACAACAAGCAGCTGCCACAGTCTCAGCAGCAGCAACAGCATCCGCTCCAACGGGGGCATCAGGTCCTCTTGCTGCTGTTGCTACTAGTGTTGCTGCTATAGCAGTAGCAGCAGCAGCAGCTGCTGCTGCTGCTGCTGCTGCTGCTTACCCTGAGTCGGGTGCTGTGAGTACATCAAGAAGGGCATCTTCATAAAGAGTCCAGTTTGTGACTGTCCCTCTGAAGCCGGGCAAGTAGCCGTCCCCGCGGACTTCTGCAGCAGCAGCAGCAGCAGCAGCAGCAGTAGTAGTAGTAGTAGGAATGGCAGCAAATGCAAAGGATGCAGCAGCGGCAGCAGCCGCCGCAGCAACAGCTGCGGAAGTTCGCGTTGCAGAGATAAGTCCCTATACGCAGTGTAACGGCAGAGTCAAAGACCCTCGCAGCAGCAGCAATAGCAGCAGCAGCAGATGCAACTGCAGCAGCAGCAGCAGCAGCAGCAGTGTGCTAGTTACCCCAGGGCCTCCTGACCACTTGAGGCAAAATGAGGCTCTGCTCTTCTCCCTGAAAAGCACAGCGCTGCGGTGTACGTACAGCTCAGAGCCGCAAACGAACCCCACAAACCAAAGCAGCAACAGCACAAGCAGCAGCAGCAGCAGCAGCTGCAGCAGCTTTCGCTGACCTAACGATTCCTAAATATGTACCAAATACTTTTATTTAGTCATATTACTTATTTGTATGCATACATTTATCTATATATTTATTTATATTCATTTTTTAAATTATTCATTTCACTTTATTATTTTTGTGCAACTATTCTACCTTCTTTTTATGATTGTGCTGATTGTCTGTGCGTGCCCGTCCTTCATTGCGTTCATCATAGATTTGGGCGAAAAACATGTGCCTGTTGAGGCTAGAATGTAACACGTGACTTCAGTTGGCTTTGAGGGAGCACTGGAAGTGTGCTCTTGATGCAAATCATTCGCGGACAGCTAGCCCGCAGTTTTAAATTGACGAACGTCCCTCGCCGCACACGTCATGTCGAGTGCGATTCGGTAAACTTC